ATTTATTTTTCTTTATGAAAGTGATTTTGACTTAACCTGGATGACACCTCCAACCTACATGAACCATTGTCATTGTTCAGTTCCACTTTTAGAGCCCATTATGTAAGGGCACCTGTGAAGGTGAGATAGTCATGGAGGAGAGGTGTTCTGCTGTGTGGAGAAAGAATAAGGAACCCTCATTATCGTACATCTTGTCTGCCTGACAGGCCTGGCCCAGGGAACGTAGGGTGCAGTTCCAGTAGTCTATTGCTCTCTTGGACTCCCTGATACTTCTCAACCTACTGACCTGCTCCTGGAGCTCTATTGCTAAGCTGAGGAGTTCCTCTATCTGGGTGCATTTCCCACAGGTAGCTCACTGCTACCATCTGATACTGTTGTAAGGGCAAGGCCCACCCTGCAGGCTGACACCTGGGTGGCAGTGCGTTCCTACCGGAGCTCTGTCTAGGAAGCTTCGTCAGTCCTGATGGGTGCAGAGTTTAGGGAGGTCGTGGCTTTTGGTATATACCTTCGCTCCCTGTTCGGGCCGGCAAGGTTATAGCGCCCTTCCTGTGCGCCCTTCTGCATAAACTGACGCGCCACGCCCTGGTCGTGGTGCTCCCTAGGGGATTTCTTTATACCGGGGGAAAGGAGGGGGCGGGACGGACTTGGCTGCAGTTGCTCCTGATCCCCGCCCAGTTGTCGTTAGGCTCTGTTGCGCGAGCTGCGGACTCCCTAGTGGCGCTCTCCGCTCCCCCTGAGGACCCGCCGGATTCGGGAAAACCCACCTTCGCACCGCGCTACAGCGCTCCGCTGCGGATCGTGCCGGCAACGGAGCTGCTCGCCTCGGCGACTACAGACCATGTCTTTTAATTTGATTATTAAGGGATGAGTTATTACTCTCTGCTTTGCAACTATTCTAATTAAAATCTATTATCTTTCTTGGATATACGTTCTGAGTAGGAAGTAATGGTAGCTTAATGTCTTCAAGTAAAGAGTGTTTTGTCTACAGTGAACATGTTGTCTTTAATTGTTTTATATTTACATTAAAGTGTTGCTCTTACTCTGTCTAGTAGTTAAGTAGAATTCAATATTTCTGTGCTTTTCCTGTGTAACACTGAAACAGAATAGAGCAGTCTTGGATAAGACTGACAAAGGAAGCAACTTATTAAAAATTTTATCCCAGACTGATGTTCTTTAACTGCTATTCCTGAGGTATTTTGATAAACCTAAAGGCTTACATATCCTGTGTGAGCTGAATGTAAAATTTCCAATGTTTGTTTTTTTTTCCCTGTCCCTAATAATATCTCAGTTGTCCATAGTATTTGGGGAAGTCAAATGGAAAATACTTTTACTAATCAGAGAGAAAACAACCTGAGTTTTGTTTGTAGTTTTAAAAATTAATCCTAGTACAAAATGGTATTTGAACCCTAATATTGTTCAGCACTATTCTCCTCCTTTTCTTAATGTTCAACTAGATGTTCACCTTAATCTGATACATACTTAGCTCCTCTTTTATGCTTATTTTTATTAGAAATTAAGCAAATTTTATAGCATAAGAAGTTATATTTGAGAAGATGAGAATAAAGATGGAACTATATATATATTTAGCATTAAGCATACTGCAAATAAAATGCTTGTGTGATAACTTCTCTGAAATTTTTAGCCATGATAGAGGTGAAAAATGTGGTTAACATGAAATACTAGAATAGTGAGTCCAATGTGTTAAGGGGAAAACAACCTTCTCTTTTAATTCATGGGACTGTTATGCATCTCTTGATTAATCCATAAATTCAAAATGCTTGCCCATAGAAACTGATTTATATTACCGAGAAGAGAATACCAATGAAGATGCCTTTAGGTTTGATCATTAAAAGGTATGATGAGTAAAACATCTTTAGGCTTCTAGCTCAATGCTATCCTCTAGTGGAATAATGTTGCATTAAAAAGTAAGCACATTTTTGTCTGTGATCAACAAGTTTTTTAACTAGTCCTGGTAGCCCCAGTTATATTGATTGTGAGGAGAGGGTACATTAGTATAGATGTCATAATTTGGGCCTGTTTCTCAGTCTACACGTGTATTTGTGTATTGATAATTGACAGTAGGAAACCTGAAAAAGTCTCCTTGCTATTCTCTAAGGTAAAATGCATAAAAAATTTGAAAAATAAACTTGATTCTTTCTCTTCGGTGATCATTTCCATAAGGTCATTATGGAGAAGATGCAGGAGAACGGTTTCCATTGATTAGGAATTAATTTTAAAAGCTTTTTTAAAGTCACTTAACATGTCATGTAAATCAGAATTTCGTGAGGAATCTAAATTCTTTTGACAGCTTATTTATTAATTTGCTCTTTTTGTTCCCTGCTTATAACGGAACCCTTCCTGAGTGTGTGTTTTTCCTTAAAACTTGATATTAAAATGGATGCATCCAGTTCAATTTGGCATTCTGCTGTCTTTTGCTATGTGTATTTTTTGGTGTGTTTTTGTTTTGTTTTGTTTTGGTTTTTTTCAAGGCATAGAGAGGCAAGCTCCTAAAATTTTAGTTAACACAGTGTATGGGTTAAAAAAACACAATGCTGAAATTATGAGGCTTTTTTTCCTTGACACTTTCCTGTTACATTAAAGGATATTAAAGTAGTGTATTGTACTACCCACTGTCAGATTATCCAAATGAAAACATGATATTAAAAGCTTGTTTAAATTGATCCTGAAAGAGGACTCTGATAAAACTATTGCATGCGTTGTTGTAACAGTTTGACTCAGGATCGACAATAATACTTTCGATCCCCTCCTGCTCCCACCCAGGTAGGGAAGGAGAGAGAGAATGAGGAGAGAGATGCTCTGGATTGAAAACTAAACTAGACAGCTTTAATAAAACACTAATGATAAAAGAAAATACATATAATTATGTCCAAATGTGTTCAGGAATGTGTAAACCCCCTATTGTCTCCCCCCACCCCCAGCAACTCCCAAACATTTTTACCCAGCAGGTTTCTTTCACATACCACAGGGACTTTATCCCCATCTGCAGTATGTAAAAGGTCTGACTGGGCAGGCCCAGCCCGATTGATGGATCCCCTGGTATTAACTAACCAGGTGGCCTTTGCCAAATTCTTGTCTCAGTTTCTGAAAGTTCCACCACCCATTGCCTTCAGGGTAGCCTTCAACAAACCATTGTACCTCTCAACTTTCCCTGATGCCTGTGCATAGTATGGGATATGGTAGATCCATTCAATACCATGCTCTTTAGCCCAGTCAGTGACAAGACTGTTTTTGAAATGAGTCCCATTGTCTGACTCAATTCTTTCTGGAGTACCATGTCTCCACAAAATTTGCTTCTCAAGACCCAGGATAGTATTCCTGGCTGTGGCATGAGGCACAGGATATGTCTCCAACCATCCTGTACTTGTTTCCACCATTGTAAGCACATAGCGCTTACCCTGGCGGCTCTGAGGCAGTGTGATGTAGTCAATTTGCCAGGCCTCTCCAAACCTGTACTTTGACCACCTCCCCTCATACCACAAAGGTTTCAACCGTTTTGCCTGCTTAATTGCAGCACAAGTCTCACAGTCGTGGATCACCTGTGCAATAGTGTCCATGGTTAAGTCCACCCCTCGGTCACGAGCCCATTTGTATGTTGCATCTCTGCCCTGATGACCTGAAGCATCATGGGCCCACTGAGCTAGAAAGAGCTCACCCTTGTGTTCCCAGTCTAAGTCTACTTTGAACACTTGAGCAGCCTCATCTGCTCGTTGGTTGTGTCGATGTTCCTCAGTGGCTTGACTCAGAGGCACGTGTGCATCTACATGACGCACTTTTGCCACCAGTTTCTCTGTTCGAGCTGCAATGTCTTTCCACAGGTCAGCAACCCCACAAGGCATTTGCTGCCACCCATGAGTCAGTGTAGAGATAGAGTCTCAGCCACCCTTCTCGCTCAGTGTCCTGGTTTGAGCCAGGATGAAGCCAGTTTTCCTTTTGCTGAATTTTTTTTCCTTCAGTAAGCTTTCTTTTAACTAGCAACAGTGTGTTCTGCTAGGCTGATAAGACACTGGAATGTTTTTGGAACTGCTGGGACTCCAAGGCCCAGCAGTTACAAAAACATCCCAGTGTCTGTTATCACTCCATGCTGGGACACTTTGCTAGTTAAAAGAGAGCTTACTGAAGGAAAGAAATAATCAGTAAAAGGGAAAGTGACTTTATCCTGGCTCAAACCAGGACAGGTGTATACATTAGTTTCATGAAGCCCCTTAATTTACTACTGCAAGTGAAAGACATTTTTGTGGGCCTTGACAGATGAAGAAATGATGATGCTTCCTTTTCCCTTACCAAAGTGAACAACAGAGACTTACAATGAGAAAATTGCAAAAGCCTTTAGAAGATAATTAAGCCTTTTCCTGATACAAGCAGTGTGACTGATTTTCAGTGCAAAGATTGAACTTCCACAGGGAAGAAGCTGAAGAGCTGATGCAATATAAAATTAAGATGTATTCCAAGTTCTTCTGTACTTCAAAATAGAAGACCTAAATTTCTGATCCCAGTTATGTATACATTGGAAAAAACATTTTTGGCATTCTTCAGACTTGAACTGTTAGAAAGTATAAATAAAAATGCAGGGAGGGATGTTATGTGGTGGTCTTGTGTTTTTATGTGGCTTGTGGGATGGTTTGGTGTGAGATTTTTTTTAGGTTGTTTTCACAAAACTTCCAGATCAACCACTGTACTACTTAACCTCTATAGTGTTTTGAACCCCAAGCTTCCTAGCAGGGAAAAAGCATGATCAAAAGTAATTTATAGCCTAACAAATTATCATTTTGAGTGTTTGACAATTTTTTATTGAGTTGGACTTTCACTTTGGATTATTACTGCTTTTTTTAAAGATATGTTTAAAACTGAGTCTTGCCATGCATCAGCTGCACAAAATCTTCTTGGATGCATTCCTTTTTTTGTTGGAGGGGCAATAACAACAAATCTATCATTACAATAATATGAAATTTTTGGTTTTAAGCAATTTTCTTTGTTCACAGGTGTTAGCTGTGATGCCTGTTTAAAAGGAAATTTTCGAGGTCGCAGATACAAGTGTTTAATTTGCTACGATTATGACTTGTGTGCAACTTGTTATGAAAGTGGTGCAACAACAACAAGGCATACAACTGACCATCCAATGCAGTGCATACTAACAAGAGTAGATTTTGGTAAGTAATAATTTAATTAATATTAGAGCTGTTTGCTGTAGTTAAGAACTTGTATTTTTGTTTCACTACCTAAACTTTTATTTCCCAATTAGCATGCTGAAAACTATAGCAAGTTCTTTGTGAAAAAAGCTTGTTTTCTTTTTGGTTCTAGCATATGAAATCTGCTTTACACATTTGGGTTAAGTATTTTGGCACACAGCATATTATCAGACTATTAGGTATATATATCTCATAAAAAGGATTAGTCCTAAATTAACTTCCAAGTCAAAAGGTGAAACAAAACTACGTGCACCACCATCCCCTTCCCACAATGTGTTGTACTACAAAGTACCATAGTGAAGAAGAGAAATGGTGGCGACAGTTTTGGGAAAATGTTTTCCAGTTATGTAAGTGGATGGCAATGCAGCAGGGGTGGTAGGCTGTACTGAACATGTGTTCATTTAGTCAACAATTTAGCCAAGAACCAGGTGACAGATGCTGTTATCCCCCCACTACTCTCCCAGGGAAAGAAAAACAGGGAAATGGTTTTATACTAGGAAAGGGTAGATTAGATTAGACATTAAGAAAAAGTTATTTAATATTAGGGTGGTAGATCACTGGAACAGGTTGCCTAGAGAGGTGGCGGAGGCCCCATCCCTGGAGACATTCAAGGTCAGGCTTGATGGGGCTCAGAGCAATCTGATATAGTTGGAGATGTCCCTGCTTATTGTAGGGGGGGTTGAACTAGATGACCTTTACCTTTAGAGGTCCCTTCCAACCCAAGACATTCTATGTTTCTATGAAATAAGG